ATAGGGTTTCTGTTTCTGCTTTTCAGCAGAAATCAAGCCATTGGCAACACAATTCATGCCGGTGGTAGCCGCAATTTTGAACTAATTCTCTCACTGTAGAGTTGTTGGTTTGAAAAAAAAAACGGTAACATAATCAATTTTCCTCCCTCCTTGCAGGGCGTCCAGACACGCCCTTAATTAACTTAAACAAATTACATCTTTATTAATAACAAATTAATTATTAAACAAAAATATTAAATATAAGCTAAGCAAACGTGCATTGCACGTTACTTGCACCTAGTTGATATATATGTCCTGAAACATTGCCAAGAAACTCAAGTATTATCTCATCGTGGTTATTCCCCTCTGATGCCATCTGCACAAACATTAATTTTATCAGCATTATTTCAAGATCATGTGATGCAGAAGCGTGTAATTTGTTAACAGACAAGAAAAGAAAAGGTTGCAAAGAAAAGAAGAATTGAAGACAAAAGGAAATCGATTTTTATTCATATATTCGGGTTGTCAATTATAATGAATAAACCTTTTATTCGTAGAGTAAAAGAAACTAAAATCCAACGAAATTCTAATAAACTAGAATATTAAATCTAATTTAAACTCATCTAAACAATCATAATTAAATGAAACTCCAATTTAAATTTCTATCAAAACTATATCTCTATCTTAATTTGTATCTCCATCATCATGTTTAGCACACTTGACTAGTATGTTAGTGCATTGAACAACCTAGTCTTGACCAGTTTGTCATACCAAACATGCTAATAATGTTGTATCGACGTGAGAATATACGAGAGATTCTAACGTAGAAAGCAATGGATTCCAGCTGAATCACCTTGAAGCAGTTTGAGTTGAGCACTGGCTTTTAAATATAGATACTTTTTCTTGGACTCAAATCCACAACCTGTGCAGATCAAAACTGTCAATGAAAATGAATGGAGGTCGCAATTATGAAAGTCGAGTAAATTACTTACCGGTTGTGTTACGAGAGACATTGAAATTTGCTCCCCTTGAATGAGAATGTGATCAGGCGCCAAATTTGGCTGGAAAATCTCACTGAAATTAGCTGAATTTACTGCATGCACAAGCACAAGCACAAGCACAAGCATAAGCATAGACAGGTTGAAAAATGTCAATATCATTGTCATTGTGGATTTTGATAGTCAATTCATTTGAACAAAATGAACCTAGTTATAACCCTTTAATTAATTTACATCAGGAAGAACATAAAATTTAACAGAAAAACAATAACAAAAACATAGAATTGGAATAGTGAGAGTCATGAGGACAGTCATTACTCACTATAGATATCTGGCATTCTCTGAGATTCCTTGACATCTGGGTTGATGCTCGAATTCCTTGGCCTTGGTAATGAAATGCCGAGCTAGTTGATGACCCGGAGACACAAGTAGAGAGAAGAAAAGGCTAAGTTCTTCGCTAAATATAAATAGCAAGCTGTACATCTATCATCCTTATTGCCTTCCAACGATACAATTAAAAAACAAAAATCATGCGAGGCACTTTGCCTCATCAAATGTAAACTTCCAATTCAAACACAGAAAGCACCCTAATCTTTTTAAGACAGTGTGCTCAAAACAAAGATCAATTACTCAGCATTGTCCTTTTTCGGACTGTAAAATACAAGGTAGCACATCGTAAAGTAGGAAAACCAGAATGGGAGTATATAAAAAATGGAACTAATATATCAACTTCTTGTACAATTAATACTTGAAGAAAATCTCAGTTTTCTCCAATGTTTTAGAGGTCTAATCTAGAATTGTATTGTCCACAGCTTTGATTAGCCGGTTGGATAAGAAAACCTATATAAATAATAACATAACTTTCCAACTATTTCCAACCTCTTGAGAAAAAATTTCATCCATTAGTTGAAGCAAGACCCCTAGGTCCGGCAGAGAAATTGCTTGGTGTTCATTATATCCAACCATCACCAGTGACACATGCTTCCTCTGGTAATCTGAAGCTTAAACAATACATTGCCTACAGAGAATAAAAGAAAATCAAAATCTTAGATTTTTTGTTTCATGCATGATTCAAATAGATGGGTCCCCAAGTCTACGAAGTATTGCTACACAGCTTGTACCTTGTTTGGAGCAACATCTCTGACCCGAAAAAACACTGGGTCTTGTATACTAGCACCCAATGCAGTCTCCGCCACCTATACACCAGTAAAACCCAGTTCAGAAGCAACATGTACAAGAAAAATGATGAACCGTCTTATGGTGAAACAATGTTATGAAATTCACAACGGATGTGAAACATGACCAAGTGGGAGATTGACCAATGATCTCCTGGTGTCCTACTGGCTACTACACCCAGTCCAGCATGAAGAAGCTTTATGTAATACATTGCCGTGTTTTTGCGAATTGTTATATAAATATCAATTCTGGCTTCCAATAGGTGGCTCTAAAATATTATGAAGACAGACAGCCCAAGCGACAATAGGAGAGTTTTGATGTTTCTCTAAGTGTTGGTTTCAGATGTTGTCTATCATTTAATTTGAGAATGTCCGATTTTAGTTTCTGAAACCTAAATGATAAGGCAATACAATTCTGCATTAGTTTAAATAAACGCATTGTCCAGTTGCAGCAAATGCATTACCAAAACAAGTTCTCGCGAGCAATTTTTCAACCAAAGAAAAATTCAAGTATGGAACTCTCTCAGGAACAAGTCGCACAACACTCACATATGAACTTGGGAGCTAAAAGCAAAAAACAATAACGGATAAAGCATTTAACATGTGCCACCACTGTATCAACTCAACCACCCCTGCCATACGAACCCTCTTTTTCTCAAAAGAGGCAAAATAAACAAGTTACTGTCTGCAGGAAACTACTTACTGATGTTATATATTCCTTGGTCTCAGTTGATCGCATGAAGCAATAACAGTGAATCCAAGGCAGAGATCCTTTCCAATATCTCATCTGGACGAGGTCTCTAAAGGCATCTGCGAGACGAAACTCCAAGCATGAAGAACATACCTCAACTCAGTGTCTAAACATGCTACATGGGCCACCTCAACATTGGTGGACATGGAATTAAGGTGGAACCATGAAGATTTACTATGGCAATGAAGTAATCATCATCACAGTACCACACAATTAAAAAGGAAAAAGAGAAGAAAATGCTAAATTTGCAACTAGCTGAACCTCAAAATTATCTAGCCTGTGATAAATACAACACTAGATTTTACCATATTCCAAGAAAGCGAGCTGTTTGCCGATCAATTACCAATGAAATTTTAATGGGCTTATTCTATTGTATCTGTCTACAGAGTACACTCAGATAGTGTTGAATGACAGTATAGTGATGAGAACTTGATCTTGAAGGAGTGCATCTGGAAATGAGTCATCGTAGGCTTTCCTAGAGTTACAAATTTTGGAAGATTTGAAATTGTCTAAAGAAAGCATCCAATATGACGAAGTTTGAACTACAAATCTACGATAAAGTCAAAAGGATAATAAAAGCCATTATTGATTCCACAATATATAAGAAAGTACAAGAAAATAGTTTGGTGGAACTTTTTCCAAGTGAATCAAGCCCAATTTAATTTTTTGTTTCCATCATTATTTTTACCATTGAAATTTTAACAGTTAAAGACAAAGATTTAGGTAACCGATCATCCCTGGCTGATAGCCAACAAGACAAACGAATTTTACAAGTCAGGAAATATGTTCAAGTGTCTCAATAAAGAAAGACGAGAAGAGAAAGTATGGAAAATTTACCAAGAAATTGTAAAGCAGAGGCTGGAAGATTCATAATGACATGATCAATGTGCTCCCAAGGCCTTGTGTTGATTGACACACAGCCTCTCGGGCGCTTATTTAAGCCTTGTTTCTTCTTACCACTTACACATGTACTTGCACATTCAGCCATTCCGTTTTCTGCAGTGGACAACACAGGGAAACGAGTCTCATTCATATGAACATATTGGAGACAATATCAAATACTACCAATATAGATCTCATGAAGAACAACATAAATATTTGCGGTATCATTTCTAAGAATTTTGTATTGAAAGATTTCTCCTCTACGCTTGTAAGTTGTAACCCGTCTTACCTTCAAGTGGACTTCCAGGACTCCTTTTTGCTGTGGCTAAATTTGAATCGTCCTTCATACATAACTGTCCTATACTCTCAGAATTACTTAAATTCTCTTCTGGTATTTCGACCACCTTGTCTTCAGGGTATATTAAGTTTTAGTTAGTGATTGACTGACTGTAATTCAAAACAATGCAAAACAGCCTAAGAGAACAAATTACCAGTTAGACAACTGTCTTCAAAGTGTGTTTTCCTATTTTCATGCATGCCCCATTTCTCACAAGACTTTGAGCTGACTTCATTTGATAGAGAATTACCTTCACTTGAAGGTGCAATCAACAGCTCAGCAATAAATTTTCGTGCATCCTTATTGTATGCGTGAATTAGATTATCAACCTTGTTAATTTCAGCATTAATTTTCATATAGCGAACACTATCTGGATTCAAATCATTTGCATATACTATGCATCCTTTCTGTGCTGCAGGAATTGCAAATGGACCAATCCCAGCAAACATATCACAAATAATGTCCCCTGCCTGGAATTTAGAAATTAGCCTCAGATGCTCGTGTTCCAATCTTGAATTCCAATAGACTAAGCTATAATCAAGCTTGAACGTTGCACCATACTGCTTCACTTCTGTAACCATATTATCCTCACCAGCAAGTATTTCAAATTTAGGCACACGAAACTCATTCGTTATGGTTCCAACCTTATTAACAATGGTCTTGATTCTGGGTAAATTTTTCTGCAAGACACAAAAGCTTGATCAACAAAACACAGTGAGACAACCTCAAGACCTAGGAAAAGAAGGTCAAGCTCTCTCTATCCTAAGAAAAAGCCCAAGTGTTTGTACAGGCAAAAGAAATTCAAGACATAATTAGACAGAACACATAAAAGTAAAAATGACAAGTATGATGACTAATCACATGTTAAAACTGCAACACATCAGAAATGCATCAAGAATAACATTGATATCCTCTGCAAACGAATTCTTTTAAATTAAGTCAAGATTCATGAAATATCACAATATATTGGTCTCACAGAGACAAACAACAACCAATCATCGTCGTTATGAAATATCAGATCCTAAATTCGCAAATATATCTTTTGGATTACAATGATATATTGCAAGAAATATCACGGATTTGGTAGATGTCTCTATTTGGACAGTATATGGCTTACATGTTTTTTGTCCAAGTAATATCTGACTTATTGTCCCAACAAGGCCAATGCCACAATTACAGATGAAAAGGTGCTGACACATAACATGTACCAGCAGATCTATTTTGCATTTTTATCTTCTATATTTTCATTCAAATAAATTATGAAAAATGATAAGATCAATAACAAATGTTAAACCATAATTCAGGATGCTGATTGTCAATCCCATTTGAAATTCCAAAATCACATAACAACAACATTCAAAGGTAAGAAACACAGATCTACTCTTGATAAATCTTTTTTAAGCCAGCAAAATGTACACAAAATAGCTTCTTTGACAAAAGAATCGAGCTATCCATGTGCATGTTAACTGAAAGGAAATTGTCAAAAACTGAATAATTTCCCATTCAACTGGTAATGTTGTCTCACACAATTCACCTTCTAACCAATACAAAATAGCAGTGTGAATCAATTGTATCGAGAGTAAGAAAGGATCTCGTGACTAGGTTTCGATTTGATAAACATGAAATTTTTTTATGATTACTCAACTGTATAACTGTCTCTAAGCTGTTTATATACAAGCTACCAAAAAGCTTATTCTAAGTTCTAAGTATTTATGTTGCTCTCCAACATTGTCACCAACCTAAGCCCCTATTTGACAACTATTATTTGAAAACTATTTTTTTCTAAATACTCATTTTCAACTACACATTCACACAATAAAATATTCTGTATGTAAACCCAAAACTTTTCCGTACTTTTTAACTACACATTCTCCTCAAAATCACTATTCAAAACATTATTTTTTCCAAATAATGGCCATCAACTAGGAGCTAAAATATGCTTGCACTTTCATCTTTTGGTCTCCAGAACTCACAAGTAGCTTTCCAAAACGTATGGACGTAACATTAAATTACTAATTTATCCACGGTGCTTTATTACACAACCTATGGTTTTTAACCTCCTTGATCATTCTTATACTTTTCTATATCAAGTATCCTTCATATCAGGTTCTTTCTTCTACAAGTCTTGTATTTAAAGTGGGAGGCTTTTAATGCCTATATCAAGCACAAATACCTTTTTGGAACTTTTAATATAAGATCACTTAAAACTTTTAATTGCAACTAACCTTTTGATGTCATGTTAGTAATAAGTCATTTATAATTCCAGTTTTGCTCACATTTTGATAATTATAACAATAAGTTAGGCCCTGTTCTTTTAGACACTTTACATCTGTTAAAAGGTCAAGTGTGCATCTCTCCTCTTTTAACATATTCTACAAATACCAATTAGTACGACTCAGTTGTTGAACACCTCTATAGTTCTTATAAACTTGAAAATCAACTTTATTATTATAGATAGGCAATAAAAGAGTCCTTGATTCAGCTAACATCTTATTAAACAATTAGATTTAACTCAGACCAATTGCTTTATTCTCCTTTTCATCCACTTTGTAGCCCCTCTCACTTCCAAGCATATCCTTCTAGTTTAGTTAACATTTCTATTTTCAACAAATTTGGCATATTCTCAAGATCCACGACGTGTCTTTTAGTAAATAATATCAAAATACCCGCTCTATCTTTCTATTAGTATTGTGATGATTCACGCAATTTTATATTTATCACTTGTTTGCGACTCTATTGAGAGACTCTTAGTACGAGCTTCAATAACAATTCAGACATGTCATTTAATGTTATGAAGCCAAATGCCATACAAGTCAGCTAAATCATCGTGTATGTACCAATAGTAACACTTGTTTCATTAAAAGAATATCCTTCATAGATTTCATTTTTCACATATAAAATTTCAATTACAACTATTTTTTCAAATTCTGCTTAACTGACCATTTTTTACTATTTGATTTAGTTTACAATTCACAATAGTATGAGCATAATTCTCGTTTGATTCATATTAAAATGTGATTAAAATAGCTACAAGTCTACCCAAATAACATAGCAAAAACATAATTGAAGGGCTAACAGAAGTAAAAGAGCATTATTGTCGTAGACCAAAAATCGTACATCATAGATAACTTTTGCTATTACATCCTTATAAGGAAGTAATTCGTCCGTTATATTCAGATGGGCAATGTGACCTGCACAAAGATAAAGCAATGTCATTATTTAATAGAGAGGTAATATGGAGAATCTGTTAGCTATATGCTGTAAATACTAAATCCTGAGATAATAGGTGACTGAACTGCAAATTTTATCAGTTAAAAGTTAGTGCAAAAAAGATGGAAAAATGTGTGAATCAACAACCAATGAAGGGAAACCCAAATAAAAAGGGGAAGGAATTTAACATAAATAAAATACTTAACTATTGTCTCAAATGATGAGGGAACCTCAACTCCAGGTGGTAAAATCTGCTTCAATATATAGTCTGAAACACAGTTATTTAGTTACATAGTAGTAATTAACCAAGACAAACATATTGAATTAAAAACTCAATCACATAAATGATCTAATTGGCATGGATCACCGTATTAAACAATCAATTACATGTGATAACAGCAAATTAAATCTTATTTATTGTAAATATGGGATCCTTGCATGCAAATATCATATTTTCCGTCATAGGCCCAATATGTAGACAATTTATAAATAGATGGCAGCAAAAACGTCACAACCGCTGTTGATCTTATACCATGTAGAACCCACCTCATCCAAAAGATTAAGTTTTTATATATGAGAATTTATTTAAATTTTTGTATTCAACAGACCCTTCATTACATCTAAGAAAGATCAAAATCAAGTATTTCGTACCCACATTAGGCAGCATTAATTTCAATTTGCCCCACCCTCTTCTAACATGTTTCATTGAGATCACATCATATTTTACACTTGTACACAATTGGTTTCATTTCTATTTCGGAATATTCTTGCTTCTTATTTTATCCACTCTAGTGTTTCTACAAAGTCCACGATAGAATCCTAATTCCTGTCATGTTGATAGACCTCCAACAGTGGGGTAGCATAACAGGATATTAAGTCCAATTTTAGTTAGTTAGTTAGTCAACAGGGGTATATTGGGAAATAGAGTGAGAGAGGAAGTGTGATAATAATGTGAGAGAGGGGAGGGTAGGGGGATTCATTCCATTATTCACGTGTTTAGAGTGCAGTGAGGACAGAATCAAAGGCTGTTTAGTTCCATTTTCATTTAATAATATTACAGTTCCTTGTTCTATCATCTACATTCCCAAAGCAATTCTATAATCAAAATACTGCAATCCTATTACATTCTTAATTTCGATCCTAATGACTAGCCCATAATTCATTTATGTTGGTTGAGCAGATCCAAAGCAGCACCATCAGCAGAACCTCTATAGAAACACCAGAACTTCAACAGCAACAGCAGCTCCAAAGGATCAACAGCAGCAAACAGATCCATTAGAACTTCAGCAGCAACAACAGGTTACTATCAAATTGGTATCAGATCATTGATTCTCGGACAAATGAAAATAAATTTCTGCAAAGAATTGGAGGAGAGATGGGGCACGACGTTTAATCGGTTTGAGCAGATGATGATGCAACGGGAAGAGACCGAAAAGATGATTTAGGGCTGGACTCACCAAGTCAGCTTGGACTATCCATATTCTACAGCGAAAATTCTGATTGGTGGATGTCTAGTGCGTAGAGGATTTTCTCTAGAAATCAGTTATCAGAGGCAGAGAAGGTAGAAGCTGCAATAGCATGTTTCGATGGCAAATATGTGATGAGTTTCAGTAGGTAGATCGACATCGGCATATGAAAACTTGGGGAGAATTGAAAGGGTTGATAATTGAAAAATTCATCCCGTCAACAGAATGCAGTCGAAAATTCGCAGAGGAGGAGAACCGATGCTTGAGCGTCAAGGATTGGGCCGAGTAATGGAGTTGGCAAAAAGATCGATGATAAACGTGTACCCTCGAACAGATCCAAATGAGATTTGGTTCAAACCATGGTAAAGGGCCTACGTTTAATTATAGCCCAAATCTCAATGAAGGTGCTCCAATTCGTAGTAAATGTGAATGCCCAATGACTAATCTAAAACCAATTTGCCAGTTATGCCCAAATTGTCCAAGTATGCTTACTCCTGCATCACTCCCAATCCACCACCACCAAATAACCTTGCACGATTAAACAATGCTGACCGTGACAAGATGGGTAGAGAATTGTGCTATAGATTTGAGGAAAAAATATAAAATAGGGAATCAAGTCATAAATAAAGAGATGTACGTTTTGGAAATTAGTGAGTCGTTGGTGGAAAAAGGAGAATCTGAGAATGAAGAGATGGATAGAGGTGAAGAAGTTGTAGTACTAAACGACAGTGGCAATCTCAGGCAATGTGGGAGGTGAGTCTCACAGCTCCAAAGACCAAAGATTTGTGGCCCAGTTGAGCAACCTGGTTTTGTTGTTCTATTTGATCATGGGGCAAGTCTTTATTTTATACTGAATAACTAGACTCAAACTTCGGGAATTCCTTGCATAGGCAACTGGTTATGGGTCTTCATGGGTGCTATACTTATGGTGTTCAAAACTGGGAAGATGGTTAAATTTACCGATCAAGTGATTGCCTTGGATGAGAAGATGGATAAAATTAAAATTGAATTGCAGAATGGACTTAACATGATTAGAATTAATTTCGACAAGATTGAGATGAAATTGTCTGTGATGATGAAAACAATTGACAAGAATCTCTTTTTGCAGACTTCTGGAAAATGTGGACCTACTGCTAGTGTCAACCTATGATGCTCGGACCTGGGTACAAGTACAAGTCTAGGTGTCAGATCTTTTATTTTCTAAAACATAGGATACGGGGATATGGTTAAAAAGACTCCAAATTTCGAACACGGGTACATAGGTACGTTTTTCAAACTTCAATTTTTTTACTAATAAAGATGTCATTTTGAATAGTCCAAAATCAATTATTCACAAAGAAGGAAATGGGTATTGAATAAAGGGTTAAGACGAATAAAATAGAATTTTGAGATTTCGTTTTCAATTATAGTAATTACTAAATGTTATATAAAATAGAAAATGAGGAACTTGATTGCAATTTGAACTTAGTGGAGCATTAAGTAGTACTATATGAAACCCATTTTCATTTTATACAAAAAGAAGAAAAAGAAAGAAAAAAGGAAGAAGAAGAAGAAGTAAAAAGGAAAACCTAGCACCACTGTCTTTCTCCACCTTTCGACGACAACACTAGATTTATAGAGAGCAGAAAATGGGAAGGAAAAGGAAAAGGAAAGAAGAAAAAAAGGAGAAGAAGCAAAAACGATGAAGTGTTCGATTGAAACTTGAATGATCCGACACATATCCAGGGCCGGTTTTGGGCCGAGGCAAGTGAGGCCATCGCCTCAGGCCCAAAAGTAGAGGGGGCCTCATATTTCGGCCCTACATTTTTCATTTTTTTTTGAAGTTAGGCATCTTCCCTTCGACCCTTCCTTCTCTCAAAGTTCAGACTCTCAAAGTTCAGATCCTTCCGTTTCCAATCTCTTGCATTTCAACCACTACCAAAAATCCAAATCTCCAATTTCTA